GGGGTTGATTTGCTGAAGACGTTTTGTGTTACCCAAGTCAGCGACAGACAGCGTGAGGATGGAAATAAGCTTGTTCAGCAGGGGATTGAAGAACTCTCGGTGGAATGGCACATCCTCACTGTGTATTGCTGCTGACTGCAGGAGCTTACACAAACTTTGCACATAATACACGCTACTCAGCACCTGAGGGAGAAACAGGAGGGTGAGGGGAGAGAAAGAAAGAGAGACAGAGAGTCTGTAGTAAGGTGTGCCGAGTTTCCTATCAAAAACCACACATACAGCACTTTGGTTTCAAAACCCTAAATGACAACAAATAGGTGACTAATTGGTGCAGTGTTCAAGAGAAAGTGGAATGGAACAGAAACCATCACACCTTTATATTCTACTTTCAGGAGAACTGTATTTTTCAAGTATGAGTGTGTATACATAAATGAAAGGTTAAGAAGGGTTAGTTCACCCAAAAATGAAAATTCTGTCATTTACTCACCCACATGTTGTTCCAAACACATAAGACTTTGTTAAAATTCGAAACACAAATTAAGATATTTGTTATGAAACCTGAGATGTTTCTGTACCTCCATTGAAAGTCCAAAACACAGAAGATCCAACAAGGTCATAAAGGCATTGTAAAATGAATTCATATGACTCAAGATATAATCACTTTATATGATGAACAAATTTAATTCAGGCTTTTATTTACATATAAACAATGATCAACAAACATGCATAGAGCACATCAAATATGGTAAACAAACATGGAAGCTCAAACGTGCTTGTGTGATGAGCAAGAATTTGAACAAGGTTTAACAAGGTTTTGTTCTAGTGTGTGACGCACACACAAGCTACAGTGCTCACTATATGGGATTTGCTCTGGTTATATGTGAACAAAAGCCTAATTTAAATCTGTTAACTTAAGTGATTAAACCACTTGATTAATTTTACGATGCCGTTGTGACTGTGACTTGGTAACCTAGGTCCGGATTAACGAAACATTAAGAAGAAATTTCTTAACTGCCATTTTCTTCTTATTTTCTAACTTAAGAAAAAAAGTTAAGAATATTTTGTATTCCTAAAAAATTCTTCTTAAGAAATCATCGTAAATAAATCATCGCAAATAACTTCTTAAAGTAAATAACTTCCTCAGACTGGTCTTAAATCCCAAATGGTAAGAATGATTTAATGAATGTATTGGGTTATTTCAATTTAATTGTTATATTTACGCATTACAACAACACTAGCTACATATAATAAATAGTAGGACTATTAATAGGGATGTGCATGAGTTTTCTGAAGACACACACCAATGACTGACAATGTAAAGAATGATTGGTCATGATTATGTGTGACGTGACTTTTTGCTGAATTCAAAATTCAGTAACAACTCGGATAGGGAGCTCGTTTTTAATTTTAGCCTATAAATAAGACAATCTTTGGCAGTATTGAGCACACATGAACAATACGCATACACAAGACGCGTTTACTGTTATTGAATGAAACGGATCACTGTATCTTGAGACAGGTTCTTTAAAAGTAACAGTTCAAAAACATGCCACATTAAAAACGTGAAGCTGAGCGCCCGTCAAGCTTGTCGTGACAAAAATAGACTGCGTGCTTATTATGATTATTACGGTAATCTGCAGGCAGCACAAAAAGACAATCCTTGAAATATTTTTCATTTAGTTTATCAGTGAGTCTTCAGCAAGAAACACCATTTATTCAGTCAGATAAAGACTGTCATTTTCTTCTTAAGAAAAAAAAAAAGATATTCTTAAGAACATTTGAGATGACAGAATTTTCATTTTTGGGTGAACTATCACTTTAAGCACAAAGTATACTTTAGTTTTTACACATTTGGTAGGGTATCTATATAGTGCATGTGACTTGTTTCAGAGTCAAAAAAAAAAAAACACTGAAGAAAAGGAACAAACAACAAACTACTGGAGCTTGCAGCAACAACAACAGATGCCCATGTTAACAACTTTGTTTTTTTTAAGTAGGTTAAGAGATATTACATCTGTAGATTAAACAAATACAAAATAAATTTTTTATCCGTCATAACTTTGGTCAAGTGCCGAAACTGGACAAGGATGAAACTTTCTAGTGCTACACTGTTAGCTAAAATTATTATTAAGCTGTCAAAATTTTTTAATAAACAAGCATGCATGTGATTGAGGATGTATAGAAGTTTGTGAATGATGGGTGTTCCAATTTTGTGGAAATCTACAGAGCTTTCTGTGGTGTTCTGCAGGCAACCATTCCCTTTTGACAAACTGATGTTTAAGTGGATGTGGAAAATTATAGCTGAACTCCCATAATGCACCTGGTTCCTGGCATCTTCCATAGCAGCTGGCAGGAGAGGTGTCCTTAACTCATTGACACATTGAGATATGGCCGCCGCACCCACAACACTGAAACAGACAGCAGAAAACCAACACGAAGTCATGTAGGTGAGCTCACGTGGTTTTTGCAGTCTAAACAGATGAATAAATATATAAAAAACAAACATAAACAGAATCTAAGTTTACAGTGTCATTTTTTACATTTTACTTGGGTCTTTGCTGTTAACCAGCAGAGACAAAACAACCACAATTTGGTATTTTGAAAGAGTAGGCAGATGGCAGGCAGGATGTGGTTGTGTTAAAGTGTTGTCAGGTAAACCAAGAGGATATATTTATATTTGCGAGTGTGTGTGAAAATGAGGTGAGAGGCGTGTACGGGTTTGCAGCATGTCATACATCCACATGCGCAATGCATGTCTGTGATTAACAGCTTAGAAAATCTTAATAAATATTCACTCATTTTACTAATAAAATGTCAGTATGATGCTTTAAAAATATCTAAACAATGCCAAAACTCTGCACAACATCTGTTTGTCTTCACACGTCTCTCTAACCTGGCCTTATCCTGAAGTATTTGGTTCTGTTTGAGGACAGATAGACTAAACTCAGGAAGCACAGCCAGCAGGTTGTCCAGTAAACCACACACAGCTAGCAACAGATGAGGGGTTACTATAGCGACAGGCTCGGTCCTCCCCCTTGGGTGGGACTCTTGAGTGAGGGCGGAGTCTGAGCTGTCTGTGTCACTCTGACCTACAGCAAAAAAAAACAACAACCTCAAATCACTGAAGAAGACTGAAAAAAAAAAAACATTCTTCTCAAGGCCAAACTTTCAGTTAGTAGAAAATTCCCTGCTTTCCTCCCCAAGTCGTACCTTGAGCAGTGAGTCTGTTGACTGGAGTGTCCTGGATTCCGATAACACCTGGGGTCGGAACTGGAGAATGAGTCCCACTAGAGCTACCTGATGAAATCTGACGAACAAAAAGACATACATGACATTATGAAAACAATTCAGGCTAATTTTGGCTAATCTGATGTTGCCTGCAGCTATCTATAAGCGTGTAGCTCTCTTATAACCATATTATAATACCATTATACCATTCTATATATTTTCCACCCAAAACAGCACAGAAAATTTTAGAAAAATCTGCAGATTCTTTCTGACTTTTTTGTTTTTCATTTAAAGTTACTGATTATTGAGGGGTTACCAAGGAATTGCATCTCTAATTATCAAGGCAATTTGGTTGCAGTTTTACTAATATTATTAGTTATAATATTATAAGTGTAGTGATAGACCAACATGTATCAGCCAGGCTGATTAATCCCTCAATCATGCATTTGGTCATTTTGAGATCATCACCGTCAGCTGATTCTAAAAACAGTAAAAAACTGCACAAGACAAACAGCACTTTTTGCAGTTTGATCAGAAGGTACAGTAAAAGTTATTTCCCTCTTCTAGTTAAGCTACTGTTTTTAGAAGGAATTTAAAAGTAATGGAGATTGATTTGGAAGTAAGCTAATTGTGCCGTCTCTAGACATATCCACTTAAGAGAGCATATTGATGTACTGTGTTCCCTTTAATTTATTCCTTAAATTTGATTTACTTGGTCTTAAAAAGGTAATAAAACCTGCAGAAATGTTGTCTAGTGAACAGTTATTGTTAGTTATAATATAATATTATAGTGAATGATTGTGAAACAAGTTTTCATACCCCACTGACAGACTTGTTTTAAGCACAAACTCACTTAATTGTGTTAAATTTCTCAGAAAACAAGACTTCATATCTTTGTTCTGCATCTCAAGTAAATGTATCTTGATTAAAGGATGTTTAGATATTTGCATTAGAAAACAAGACAAAAATACTGAGAAACACATTAATTTTTTAGCAGTGAATGCAACATTTAATGCCATGACTTATGAATTTAAGTCTTTCTGCTCTGATTTAAGGTCTTTTAAGGCCTTAATTTGTGTAAGGGTAAATTAAGACTTTTTAAGACCTGCAGAAACCCTACTAGAAAAAAAACCCTTGGTCGACCACAAATTTCTACTGACCAGAGTACTGGAGCTGGACATGGATCCTGAGCCCTGAGTTTGGTTTAGAGGAGTAAGCATCTCTCTCCAGTGCTTCAGAGAATCGTTCAGATCTATCTCTACAGAAAGAAACACACACTGCTTCATTTACAAATAGAACAGCCAAATGTACTACTAAATTATATGCACTGGAGTAATTACCTCTAACAGCTTACCAATACTTTAAATTCTGTTATAACAAGCGAATGATAAATGTAAACACCATCATTTAAAATATGCAGAACACCGGCCATGATCTCTAGTACAGAACAGTATTAATAATGTGTGTAAGCATATGGATGTCACTGAGTCAGACATCCACTAATAGCTGGCAGTGCTCTGGGCGTGTGGACGCAGTACCCTGGGTGACATTGGCTGGAAGTGGAGGGGGGCTGAGGGTGAAGGCATGTCTGCCCGTGTAACAGCTCTTCACCATCTGGCCCACGCTCTCAAAAAACTGGCAGTGGTACAACAGAGCCTGCAGGGCAGGAAGCCCGACCAGACTCAGGCCTGAATCCTCATCATGCACACAGGGGCTCTGGGAGACACAAGAAATGGAAGAAAAGAGGGGGAAAAAAAGATAAAACAGAAAGACAGAAAAATGAAAAATACAGGAAATATAATACTGAGGAAACCAGAAATCACCATAGACAGATTTGTTATGTCTACAGAGCTTTTAAGACCGGCTGTGTTATTGATATTCAATTCTGAAAGTTTATTCTCATGTAAACATACCTGCCAGGCACACTCTTTGGCCTCTTCTGCATTAGCAGGCACTGGCATCACAAGGAGGTTTTGCAAAATAAACGCTGCCTATAGGGAAGGGGAACATAAAAGTCAGCAATACTGCCATCTTCTTGTAAATGAATGGAAATGCATGCTGGTTGAATTCTCAGTGGAATCGCACAAAGCAAGTGGCAAATTTTTTAAAAAGAGAGCTAAAACATTCCCTTTAAACTGACTGTTTATGTGAGTTTAACATATTTTTCTCCTCCTGTTTTTGAATATGTCTTTGTACTAACCTTATACTAATAATGAATACGAATACGACTTGCAGACTTTTGACTAGCAACATGAAATCTAATCATAACTGTAGCTTATTCTAACACAGAACTGCCCACGTAGACAGGAAGTGCCCATCTGACTGATTTGTAAAGCTACTAAGCACTTTTTTATTTCATTATACACTACCGGTAAAAAAATATTGGAATAATTAAGATGTGTTTTTAATGTTTCTGATTTATATATATATATAGATCTGATATATTATATTATATATCATACATCTGAAAGATGTCTCTTATGCACAAAATGCTGCATTTATTTGATCAAAAATGAAGCAAAATTGTGAAATATTATCTCATAACAGTTTAAAAGAATATTTCTATTTGAATATATATTAAAAAAAAGCCATTTATTTCTGTGAAGAAAGCTGAATTTTCAGCAGCCATTCAGAAATCATTATGTTTATTTAGTGCTCAATTATTATTTGTAGTCAATTATTAATAGAAATATAAATCTCTCAACATTATAAATGTCTTTACTGTCACTTTTGTTTAACTGAATGCATCCTTGCTGAAAAAAAATATTTATACTTTTGAATGGTAGTGTACCATCTTTTCCACGAAAATATTAAGCAGCACAACTCTTTAGAATTTATAATAATAAGAAATGTAATAAGAAAATAATAATTTCTAAAGGATCATATGACATTAAAGACTGGAATAATGGTTGCTGAAATGTTTTATCTGGAATAGATCATACCACAAAGAAAAAAAAACTGTCAGTTAGGAACTACCAGTTTTCAACCAGCACTTTCCATTTTATGAGTCCAGCATGCATCAGATGGTCCATGGAGGGCAGTTCTAGACTCTCAGTCTGAAGCAGTCTGGGTAAACACTCAGTTTTTTGTTGTTTTCAAGCTGAAGCTGGATGGACTCACCTCTCGACGCACCATACTGCACTCCTGTCTCTCCAGCAGGATGTTGAATACCGTGGCCCACAGACCTCCTGAAATGTTCTGGCAACTCGCTGTCAATGCCACACACCCTCTCTCCAGCGAACTCAGAGCCGCGCCCACAGCCAGGCTGGCACAGCGGACCTAGAGCCAGACAAATACACACAAACACACTCATGTTCAGACCCAACACATGTGCTTGGCAGTGCTAACTGCCATGGGCTCTTTGACGTGTAGCACTGGCACAAATTCGTGTTTGTCATGCCCATTATTTTCAGTGCTCAGCATCTGCTGAGCTAAGGGAGGCCTGGACACGCACGGGTACTTGGGAAAACTATCCAGAATAGAAAGCCAAGGCACACAAATTGCTAAATAAGATTTTCATCAAAATTATGGACACGTACGTTTAATAAATTTACATTGTCTATGATTGCATTCAGTGCCAATATACAGTGAATGCTAATATTAAAAAACATGGTAAATCAGTATTTAGTGGAGCCTTGAAAATCGAAAACAATTTCAATTATTTTAGATCGTGTTCTTGTGATCCATTTAAGACCATGTCTGAATGTTATTTTTAATTACATTCTTGACAGAACTTCATTTAAGAAACACTGTCTGTATTTACAACCAGTATAAAAAAATTGTGGGTAGTTGAAAACTTGCAGTGTTGTTAATAGAGCCCGACCGATATATCGTTTAGCCGATATTATCGGCTGGTATGAGCCTGTCGCCGATATAACGGTATCTGCGAATATGCCGCCGATATGAACTTTTTTTTTTTTACAGAACATATAACGCAGATTAAATGCTTCTGAATGGTGTAATTACTTAGTTTGTCCAGCAGCTCCATTGTTTGCTCGTTTCAATGACGTTAGAGACTAGAGCTGATCTGTGCATCACGGCACGCGTCAGCGGCGCATTAAAGCCTGTGTTATGGCCACCGGAGCTGATCACGGCCATTCAGTCAATGCTGGTATTTATACCGGCCGCGCTGCGGCCCAGAACTCATGCTTATCACATCGTCTCATGACATCGCGCGGCACGACAAAATACAATAGAATTCTATTGTATTTTGTCACGCCGCGCCTGTTGCATTTGATAAGGATCACACCGACACAGCGAGTAACATCAACCATTTTTTTTTATTAATTATTTATTCATTTTAGATGTTTACGTTTGGAAAAGATGTGCTTCCTGCATAAACCTGCCCCTGTTGGTTTGGCAGTAGCTTGCTTG